CTAGCCTAATTGATGGGCTCCAGGCCAATGAGAGGCTGTGTCTCAAAGGAGGTGGGCAGAAGATGAGGCCCGAGATTGTGTGCGCGTGCGCACACACACATTAAAAAAAAAAAACAAACCTGTATCACTTTTTTTATTTTAAAAAATTTGATGTATGTGAGAATTTTACTTGCATGTATGTAAGTGCAGCTATGATGGGCAATGCCCGAAGAGACCAGAGAAGGGCTTCAAATCACCTATAACAGTAGTTACAGATGGTTGTCAGCCATCATGTGGAGGCTGGGAACTGAACTTGGGTCCTCCGCAAGAGCAGTCAGTGCTCCCAACTATTAAGCCATCTCTCCAGTCCCACCTTATCAGTTTTTTTTTTTGTTTGTTTTTTTTGGTCTTTTTGAGACAGGGTTTTCCTGTAGCCCTAGCTGGCCTGGAACTCACTATGTAGACCAGGCTGGCCTTGAACTCACAGAGATCTGCCTGCCTCTGCCTCCCGAGTGCTGGGACTAAAGGTGTGCACTACCATGCCCAGCACCTTATCATTTCTTAATCATTTTGCTTCATTTTACCATGGTGTATGACAGGAATCTAGTCATAGTTAACAGAAGCTCTTCAGGGGGTTCCAGCTCAGATATTTTCCTTGGAGGGACAACATGCTAAGAACAGACTTGGGGGACATCCTAGATCACCTTTGAGCTTTGGGGATTCAGTGTTGGCCTCTAGAGGTCTATAGGTGCTTCTGGGACCAATAGCAAATGACTTGGTCCCTCTGTACTTTCGTTCTATCTCCTATAAAGTGGGGGTGTATAGCATCTTTGAGTCCCTGGGTTCAGTTCCCTAGCACTGCAAATAAGCCTGCTGCTGGTACATTTCCATTGTTCGACTGAAAGGACTAAATGAGACAGTTTATATCAGAGACCTGTGTGCAATGTCTGGTATGCAAAAGGTGCTTCATAATTGCTACTTCTTATGATGCTTTGACAAAAGGAAGTTCAGTCCAACAGATTGTCCTTTTTTCTTTTACAATTAAAAAAATAATTATTTGATTATTATTTTAATTCTGTGTATGTGTCTGCGCATGTGTCCTCTGAAGTCAGAGGTGTCAGATACCCCTGGAGCTAGAGTTATAGGTAGCTGTGAGCCATTTGATGTGGGTGCTGGAAACCAAATGTGGGTCCTCTGCAAGAGCAGCAAATACTCTTAGCTGCTAAGCTATCTCTCCAGTTCCTTCTTTTACAACTTATTTTTTCACCTTAAGAGACTCCATGTTTTTTATAGAAAATTTCAAAAGTATAATCAGCACTCCTTCCCTAGTACCCATTCCCCAGCACTCTGTGAACCCCATAGTGGGCCCGTGCCTTCCAAGTTCCCACCCATCCTCTCGAACAGGATTTGCCAGTGTTTGTCAGCCCATGAGGCCTCAGCGATATTTCCTACCCCAATGCAGAGGAAGGCTTAGCTCACTCCACCACTTATAGGTCACCAGACACACAGGAACAGCCGATGTCATCACTATATGAAAGGCCACAGGCAGTGGGCACATCGATGGTGCTGACATTTTATCTTTACTGTTTTAGTTTAGGAGGATCCATCAAATCCAACTACTGCATGAAAAGGCTTGCTGTACAATATAAGACATGGTGGGGTGGGTTGTAAAGGTACCAAGCAGTCTAGGTCTTCTGAATGAATTTAGTAGTAGTGAGAAGTACTATTTATTAGGATGAGAAATACATTAAAATAAACAATAGTCTTTCTTTTTCTTTTCCTTTCTAAAGAGAAGATATTGCTGTGTGGCCCAGACTGGCCTGGAACTCCTGGGCTCAGGTAGGTGACTCTCCTGCTTTGGTCTCTTGTCTCTGGAACTACAGGCTTTCTTTAACTAAATGTAATTGTGTTTGGCAGGAAGAAGCCCTTTGTCCTCGTGACAGGGAAAAAGAGCAGTCCCTGTGGTGAGTAAATGCCTAGGGTGTTGGCCAGGTAAGCAGAAAATGGCCTAACCCAGAGTTGGCTCCATGTCTTATGTGTCAGTGGGTGTCCTTCCTGCCAGGTCTCTGACCACACCACTTTGTCATGTGCTTACCATGCAACTGTTGACCTGGCCCAGTGCTGGAGAGCACACTATAGAAAGTTGTTTTGGATCTCTAGTGCTGGAGGGATTATTTTTCATTTTTTTACATACATAGTTATTAGGTGTGTGTGTGTGTGTGTGTGTGTGTGTGTGTCTGTGTGTGTACAACTCACAGGGGTCAGTTCTCATCATGGACAAAGCGCTCCATTATTTCTGAGGGTAGGTGATTAAAGGTCTTTGCAATCCAGGCCCGATTTCTGAAGAGCCACGTGGAGGGACACAGACACCCCAGCTGGAGCCCAGCTGAGTACTCATGGAGTGTACTGCTCTTGAGATGGATTCCCCAGGCCCCCTGGCTGGAGCTGACACTGCTAGGAGCAGAGCCAAGTTGTGTCTCCTACGTGTCGCTCAAATGGCAGATAGACAAAATACATGGAGATGATTGTTTTAGGCCCTTATATGTTGGGAGGGTTTGTTATGGCACATTTATCAATTCTTGCCCTGGACAGAGTGGTTTCTCCAGGTACATGATTCTTAATGATTCTTGGTTGCCTCAGAGAGTTGGTCACTCTAACCTTCAGTTTATCAGTCTGCTGGTCTTGTGAGTTCTGCTCATATAACACACACACACACACACACACACACACACACACACATGCACGCATGTACGCACGATCCCGAGATAGAATGCATACACAGAACAGTGAGTCGGTGAGAATACCTGTCTCTGCCTGAGTTTCCCTCCTATCCAGACTCTAGAGGCAACATGGTGTTAGCAGTGAATGGAAACTGAAGTACGGGGGTGGGACTGAGACCCCACCCCCTAGTCTGGGGCTCCCTTCTACTCCCAGCAACTTCATGGGGGCAGACTTTTCTGCCTCGGGGTATGGGTTTCCTCCCCTGTGGTCCTTAACTGCCCCCCACCTCTTCTTAAAACTTAAAAATTACGTTTATTTATTTGTGTGTTCAAGTATAGGGTGTGCACGTGCCATGGCACATGGGTGGTCAGAGGACAACTTGCAGAAGAAGTTGGTTCTCTCCTTCCACCATGTGGGGCCTGGGGTACAAACTGAGGTAGTCAGGTTCGGCAGTAAGCACATTTACCCACTGAGCCATCGGTCGCCCACCCCCAGCCCTTTGTATTTCTCTGACTCTGACTTGTTTGCCAGTGATCTTTTCCCACTCAAACAGGAACCCCAGGGCAGGGGTGGGACTGCACCATTGTTCTTGGTTGCATTTTTGGTACTTAGTGCCAGGTCAGGTTGAGGTGCTTAGAAAGTACTGCTTTCAAAAGTACTGTGAGAAAATAGTAGTGTGGAGGCTGTTTGAGATTATACAGGTCCAACTCCCACGACAGGAGAAATTTCCCTAGGCAAAGGGTCATTACCTTGACTTAAATTCACCCAGTGGAGAGTGCTCACCACCTCACAGCACAACCTGTCTTCATTATGCTGTTTAAAAAGATGATTCAATAAAGTCTTAATAATGTTCTCTCCACCAATGATTGCTCTCCAGCTTTCCCACAGTCCTGCCTGCCTCTGCAAAGAAAGCTTGAATCCCAACATTATCCTGTCTCCTGAAGATAAACCTAGGCTCCAGGCCCATCTCCAGCCCTTTCTGGACCATGGACCTTTATACACGCACATTGTCTTATGTCATAACACTGAGCACAGAAGGGATTCCGAAAATCTGTAAAATAAGAAAAATTCAGGTCTGTTAGTTTAATGGTAGAGTGCTTGTCTAGTATGTGTGAGGCCCTGAGGTTGAGTCCAGCACTGTAGGAAAAATAAATAAATTTGCATGTTGGCAAACTTTGTTTTGCAATGCTAGGGAAGGAGCTTAGTACCTTGTGCATATTAGTCAAGGGCTCTACCCTTGAGCTGCACCGGCAGCCTGACAAACTTAAAGGGAAAGGCTGAAGGGAAAACCAACTCTTAGGCTCTGCCCGGATACAGGGGGGTGTGGAATTTGGATCCGTGTCATGAACGACCTTCTCTGTCTTGTGCACTGTGAAGCACAGCTTCTGCTTACTAGCCTAGACTCATCCACGGCAGGGGTTCCACTGTAGGATGGCTCCTCTCTGTGTGGGGCTGGGCCCTGCCAGAGATGGAGCAGTGCTGGGACTCTGCAGCCCACGGCCTTTTGTCCTGGCCTGGAAGGCCCAGTGTTCTCTGAGGGGTCATGCTCTGCAGAAGTGTACTCTCAAGGTCTTCCCTGGAACAAAACAACAAGATGAAGCCTCAGAGGTCAGTCCCTTCGAGGCTGTTATTCTCACACCAGACTTTTGTCTTGGAACAGATTGAAGCCTTCACGCCTGCAGCTTCTCTGCCCTTGCAGTAGAAATGGTGAGGACAGCTTAGCTCTGAAGAATAAACAGCTCCCAAGACATTAGGCTTTACCCATAGTATCTAACCAGGATGGAGGAAACTGTAGAGTGAGAGCTGGAGCTTCCCACAATACTCTCTTCCTTGCTGAGTTCCTCTGGGCATCAACCTGGGTCCTTTCCATTTTAATTAATCCAGTGAACCAGCCTCTACCTTTCAAAGGAATCTGAGGATATTTTTCTGCCAAGTCCCAAGTGAGTCCCTGCAACACTCAGGAACGTAGGCCAGGCTCTTGTGTAGGTTAAGGAAGTCTGAGGAGAATAAAGATTATAGGGAAACAGTCTACCTTTCTTTACAAGGTCCTGTTTTGCATCCCTGAAATCTCAGATTCAGCTATTACAATGAGGTCCTGTTGTAGAAAGAGCTGGCCTTTTATCACCACTTAAAATCTAATTAATCCATATTGAAGCACAAAGATTTCTGTTGTACGTTAGGGTGAGGGGTCATAGAGCCCTCTTTGTTCATCCTTAGACTTATACTCATCAAGCATTGAGGATATAATTTTACCAAGCAAATTGGAAGGTAACAGATCAAATCCTTATCAGAAAGCCTAACTCATAGTTTTTAACAGTCCTTCACCCTTTACATGAAACACTATATTCAAGGGGAACAAAACCACATTTTACAGTGCCCAAAGAGTTAATGACCAAAGCTTATATTCTGGCGGCTTATATTCAAGATCATCACACTGCGTCAACCACAAAGGACAGCAGATCCTATAGGGTGGCCAAGTTGTAAGATTGCTGTGATGGCTTTGGTCTTCAGAACGGCCGTGCAATCCATGGGGCTCTTGTTATCGTTGCTGGGATGGGCTCTAGCCATTATTACAACTTATCTGCCACACTGGAAGAACCTCAACCTGGACTTGAACGAGATGGAAAATTGGACCATGGGACTCTGGAAAACCTGCGTCATCCAGGAGGAAGTGGGGAGGCAGTGCAAGGACTTTGACTCCTTCCTGGCCTTGCCATCTGAACTGCGGATCTCCAGGATCTTGATGTTTCTGTCGAATGGGCTGGGGCTGCTGGGGCTGCTGGTCTCGGGCTTTGGCCTGGACTGCTTGAGACTTGGAGAGACACAGCAGGGGCTCAAGAAGCAGCTGCTGATCCTGGGAGGAGTCCTGCTGTGGACCTCGGGAGTCACGGTCCTGGCTCCAGTCTCCTGGGTGGCCCACATGACGGTACAGGAGTTCTGGGACGAGACCATCCCAGAGATTGTGCCCAGGTGGGAGTTTGGGGAGGCGCTGTTCCTTGGCTGGTTTGCTGGGTTCTGCCTTGTGCTAGGAGGGTGTCTGCTTCACTGTGCAGCCTGCTCAAGGCCAGCTCCTCCAGCCTCGGGACGCTATGCAGTGGCCCAACTGCAGGATCACTGTCTGTACCTGGGAAATGGAACTACAGAGCCCAAAGTGTAAGACACCGACAGAGAGCCAGAGCCATGTCCTTCCTAAACTCTGATAACAAAGGGGTCTTTGTTGTGAAATTAAATTGCATTGTTCACATTGCTTTTCATTCAATAACCACTTTTACTACATTAGACTTTTGACGCTTAAATCTGGAGAATGAAAGGAAATGTAAAAAGAAATTGTTTTGGCAAACATTATAGCTATGAGTAAAAACACTTATTTTGGTTACTTAAATGAGTACATGCCGTTGGTTGTCCAATATAGTCATCTAGAGCTTTAATATATTCATTTTATATCAGAAAGTTGTGTTACTATTGGTAGCTGGAAAGGAGAATTAATTTCTGATTCTTAAAAATGGTAACTCTTCTTAAGTGCCAGGAAAGCACAGGCTAAGCCCAGCCCAAACTGTTATTTCCACAGTAACTCTGGTTGTTAAATGAAAGTGCTTGTGTTTAGAAATTCTTGGGCACCTGTTTAATTTTATGAGGATTTTAGGAGGCTGAACATTTTCAGTACATGTGGTCCTCTCTGCCTTTTAGATAGTAGCCCATCTCTTCTCTCATGTCTTTTCTCAAAAGCTTCAAATTTACAAAGAAAAAAACCTTTCCAGAAGAGTTTTTCTTAGTATCCAGATATTGTCAGTTCATTAGCCAGAATAAAAACTGTGTTCATTTAAAAACAAAAAACATGGGGATAGATAGACTTCAGTGATAAACATAGATGTTGATTTTGATGTAAGATCCTATCACCTAACTTTCCACAGCATAGAAAGACTATTTCAGAAAAGAAGAAAAAATGCCCCAAACTCAACAATCACTTACACATGAGTGAGTTTAACACAAAGGTACATATTTAAGACCTGACATTTAGTTTGGTATTGTTTCGTTTGCTTTGTAGTATATTTAGCCAAAGAGATTTTTTTTTTGTAAAAAAAAAACAGGCCTGATTTAAAGTCTAGAGAGATTTCTGACAAGACTGATTTATTTGGTTAAGAAATACTTCTCTCTGAAACTATTTTTTTTTAAAATGATAACACCCAGTATTATCATAACACACGCATTGAAATGTGAGAACTACTTAACAGATGAAAATCTGACAGATGCTGTGAGCATAATACAAAGCAGGAGGAGCTGAACCCAAACCTTCAATTAAACATTTCTGCATTTAGACTTAATTCTCTGACTTGTTAGGAACGTTGGGAACAACATGAAAGCCGTTTATACCTTCACAATGAAAGAAGGATTAGGACCACTTAACCTTAACTCACTGACAAAGTGCTCTCCTACGAAATTCAGCCCACAGGACAAGACCACAGCCTTGGCCACACCTTAGCATTACTGGTTTGCAGCATTTCCCTATCCTTTTCTGAAACGTTTTCAGCATGGAATCAAACAATAGCAGATCTGGCAAGAATCCTCCTATACACACAATGAAAAAATACTTCTGAGCTCCGCAAGTGATAAGTCAAGTGTCACACTTTTCACGGCAACTGGAGGGTAGAAGTGGGGTTGGCTCGAGCTCATAGGACTTTATAATGGCTTTAATTTTTCGAACAGCAATGCAATGTGCTGCACTTTTATTATCTTTGCTGGGATGGGTTTTATCTTGCCTTACAAACTACTTGCCACACTGGAAGAACCTCAACCTGGACTTGAACGAGATGGAAAATTGGACCATGGGACTCTGGAAAACCTGCGTCATCCAGGAGGAAGTGGGGAGGCAGTGCAAGGACTTTGACTCCTTCCTGGCCTTGCCATCTGAACTGCGGATCTCCAGGATCTTGATGTTTCTGTCGAATGGGCTGGGGCTGCTGGGGCTGCTGGTCTCGGGCTTTGGCCTGGACTGCTTGAGACTTGGAGAGACACAGCAGGGGCTCAAGAAGCAGCTGCTGATCCTGGGAGGAGTCCTGCTGTGGACCTCGGGAGTCACGGTCCTGGCTCCAGTCTCCTGGGTGGCCCACATGACGGTACAGGAGTTCTGGGACGAGACCATCCCAGAGATTGTGCCCAGGTGGGAGTTTGGGGAGGCGCTGTTCCTTGGCTGGTTTGCTGGGTTCTGCCTTGTGCTAGGAGGGTGTCTGCTTCACTGTGCAGCCTGCTCAAGGCCAGCTCCTCCAGCCTCGGGACGCTATGCAGTGGCCCAACTGCAGGATTATTGTCAGCAACTGGAGCTGAAACACACCAACGCAGAAACCTAAGCTGAAGGGATCAGGGGCATCTACTCTTCAGTAGGTGCTTGCTTGGCACGAGACTTGGTAGGGTCTCTTGTTACGGTCACCCCCACTTGCTGTGCTTCTGATTTTCTAAAATGCATATTTTCCTCCTGTGGCTACTAATTTCTTAAAATACATTTTATTTCTACAACTGGGGAAATTACTTTTATTTTCTACTTGGAGACCAAAAGCAATCAGGACCTATTAATGAAATCAGTCAGTGTGCATGAGCTCCCTCAATTTTAAAATAGGCTATAATTGCACACACACACGGGGGGGGGAGGGGGGGAGGGGGGGAGAGAGAGAGAGAGAGAGAGAGAGAGAGAGAGAGAGAGAGAGAGAGAGAGAGAGAGAGAGAACTGGTAAATAAAACATTATATGAGCATTTCTGTATCTCTGAAAGTATTCTTCATGCTGAGATGAATCAGTGGGGCAACAGAAGTAGGACTCCTGATCGTTTACTTCTTTCAGGTGTTTAAGATATCTTATCAGGAAACTAAGGTCTCTCTGGATATTATTTAAAACTTACCATATCTAAGTACAAAAAGAAAAAACAAGCAAACAAAACCCCCAGAAACCTGCTGGCTCCTTAAAAGGACTCAGAAGTGAGGGAGATGGGCCATCATCTTTTCAGAGACCTCAGTGTCTCTATAGAGACTTCTCCATGTCAGCCACATCCGTTAAAGCAGGGGAGGGCAATCCTGGATTCTAGGAATTCAGGTAGAATCAGCCACATAAAAGCGGTCCTGCTTCTGTGCCCTGTATTTCACAGCCAAACCTGCTGCCTGCCCTGGCTCTGAGCAGCTACAATGGACAGGACAGGTGCATGTGGACACAGGGCCTCCTGGGACGCTGCCTCTTGGCGCACACTGCCTGCTCCATGGTGTAAGGGTGGGGAGGAAGCAGACACTCATGAGCCTTTGCTTCCCTGTGCAGTGAAAATAATCCATCTCTTCTATCCGTAATACATAAACCCCAACAAGAACTTTTAACAACAAGCTTCTGGCTTGAGGAATTCTTCATGGGACACTTTATACTTGCTTGGTACATGGTTCAGGCACATGCTTGTGCTTGTGCCCATGAAGGAAACACACTGAACAATAAGCAACACTGAAATACAGTATTAGGCAATATCTTTGTTTTTTTTGTCTTTTTGTTTTTTTTAAAAAAAACAGTTTTTTTCTGTCCACAAACACACGGAAAGTGCAGAAACTGAACTTAATCTATGTGCTGTATTTGCATACTTTTACAAACAAGACAAAACAGAAACATATTCAGAATTTAACCTGATTAAATATTTAGTTCCATCCTGAGCTTCTGACATTTAATACAGTATAAAGCCATAGCAAAAATAAAAATACAAAAAGAATTAAAATTGATTTTATTTGCATGCTTCAGCTAAACTTTGTTCACCTGGCTGGTAATTTTTTTTTTTTTGTACCTGTAACACTTAGGAGTCAAAATTGTAATAACATACTGGTAATTCAAACTTGAGAGCTAAATATTAAATTCTTTTTACCCTGTGCAGAATAAATTCTACCTTTTAAAAATAGTTTTTTATAATATTAAAATTCATATTTGTCCATATGGTTTTGTGATCAAGTTAGTAAAATGTTTTGTCATTGTGAGTTATTTGAGTTAGTACAAATGTGAAAGGACTATTAAAAACTGCCTGTAAATACATAACACTATTGCTGATTTTAAAAGTGTGGAAAAGGATTATATTAAAATAAGTTTGCCTCTCATGTTAGAAATGAGCAAGTTTTGTAAAATAAAACCAAAGCTTGGTCATGACTGCTCACTACCAGCCCGAGACAGATTTTATTCTTTAATACTTGTCTGAAACTTTTTGTATTACAAAAAGTTAGCAGTTGATCTGATGAAGATTTATAATGCCGTAAATACTCCAATATAGCCTTTCTACGTCCAACATTTAAAATGGCCAGAACCAAACTATATATTAAACAGAACATAAATAAGACCGTAAATAAATAATGAAAATAAAATCGTACGTTACAACTACACAATATTCTATAAACATCTTCATGGTCAAATAAGATGCTCGAAAACAGCTGACCTTCATTTAGCTCTCTATTAAATAAACTTGTGCTGTTCACATTTGACCTTAACAGGGATGAATGGTATACTTCAGGTTTCCTTAGTCATCTAACAGAACTAGGCAGCCTTGAAGAGCTGTACCAAGTCAATCCCTAGGCTGGTTTTGTTCCAAGTAGTGTCACGTCCAGTTATCTTCTAAGAAATTCTATGTAGGTGGTGGAACATAACGCTCGAATTTTAGGCTCAGAAACTTGATAACAAGTTCTGACTGAATTTAAACTTTGATTCTGATAAAATGAACTTTATAAAATATGCATAGATTCGAGAAAATAAAAATTTTTGCTATTGGGGATTCCGGCAGAACTTAACATCCCCGCCCCCCCCAACAGAACCTCCTTTTTCTTTCTTTTAATTCCCGTGAATTATTTTGCATTAAAAATAATTTAACTTGCTATATAAGATGGCTCACCAAAAACTGCTTCTTCCAGTATAACAGACTAAGTAAGTATGGTTTAAATTACCTAAAAACTATGTATGGTTTAAATTACATTAAAAATAAGTAAAAGCTTTTATGCTGGCAAAGTTATAGTGAGGACTTTTTTTTTTTTTTTTTTTTTTTTTTTTCTCAAGAGGTACTTGGGTCTGGCAAGTTAAAATTCTAACCAGGAGAACAGGACATTTTAGCCAATTTCTGTCTCAAGTTTGCTCATCCAGAATATATATATATTTAACGATCCAGTCTATACTCCAATTTACTAATCCTCCAGCACACTTTTTGTTTTGCTTCCATCTACTTGCTGTGAGTCAATGATAGAATCCCCTAAAAATGAGAGCTGCAAATTAATTTCTAGTAAGCATAAGTATCTGTTTGATAAATTCTTTTCTGTTTGGCAAGTTTGATCTGATCAAGGTGTACCCTTTCCTCTGTTCTTGACCTCATCTAATGTGTGTCCCCTCTGTATCACCAGCTCTGTCATCAGAGCCCATGTGCACCGCATGATTCTCCTTGTCATCGTCCTCATTCCAGGACAAACCCTGGTGCAAGTCAGCAACTCCCACGAAGCCCTGCGCATTCAGAGTGGGGTAGGAACAGAGGCCACTTGAGCATTCGCTGTTTCTTCGGTGTTTTCGGGAGCTGGTTTCACCCCCTCCCTTCTTCTTACTCTGCTCTGAACCACATCTTTCTAGGGGAAGAGGACACTCATTTCTCATATCTTTGCACTCAGTATTTTATACTTTTGTTTTCTCTCATCAAGTATAAAAGCCAAAAAGCAAACTGTTTCAAGGAAATGAGGTGTTCAGATATAGGTGATGGAAAGGAACAGGCACCTGCTCAGGTGGACCTAGAGCTGTGCTTGCTCATGCTCACCTTCAATGGAAAGCGCTGCTTTCTAGCTCAGAAGCACCCGTACTGCCTGCTTCACTGTCTGCTGGGCTCTGCAGGCAGGCAGCTCAGCGGACAGACAGCGGGCCCTTGCTGCACCTGTTCCGTTTTGCACCATGAAGCCCAGTGGTGACACACACACATACTGTACAACACTTGTGCACCAGATTAGCCCATTTTTGTTATCTGAATTTTTTTCTTTCTTAAACATATAAGAGTTACATTCAAAGTACTTTACAAATTAACATGAAACTCTGGTGTGATATCAAAGTTCTTCAAGAGTTGACAGCTATGTTACAGGACCCCCTCCCCCAAAACAAAGCCAATGTTTAGTCTTTCACCCTCCCTTGGAAAGTGAGCAGATGAGAAGCAATGTTTTAAACCACAGGGTCACACATCGTCAGCTGGCAGGGACGGGATGCTAATTTTTGCTCGAGTGAAGTAGGCGATCTTCTCCCTAGAGGGCGGGCGGGGAGAGAACCACTTAATATGAGGTTGAAAATTTCAAGGACCCTAGAGCTGTCTCCACAAGTCCAGAAACTCCAATAAAATTCACAAGAGTTTTCATTTTAAGCTATTTTTCGTTTTACATTTATTTTTATTTATATGTATGCACACGTGTGTATGGGTGCACGTGCCACATGTGCATGTGGAGGTTAGAAGACAACTTGTGGGAAGGGTCTCTCTTTCCTTCATGTGGGTCCTGGTCCTGGGGATTTAACTCAGATCTGCAGGCTTGGTGGTAACTGCCTTTACTCACAAACCATCTCACCTGTCTGAATCTTCACTTTTCAAATGGAAGATGACTTAAAGAACAGCCCCTCTGGCTGTAATCCCCTATAGACCAAGCCAGCAAGCTCCCCTGGAAATTTCCAACAGAAGACCACTTGTAATCCACTAGGGGTTCAGCCCAAATTCAGGGACTTCTAAACCAGACAGGAGAGGATTCAAAAGGGCCAAAATCCTGCATGGAAATTCCCAGTGTCCTCACAGAATCCATGATACCAGGAAACTTGTTAAAACTAACTCTATGCAAAGGCAGGAACAAAGGGCAAGTAGTATGAGTGTCTGTCTGTCTGTCTGTCTCTCTCTCTCCATCATTCTTGTCTTCTTCAATGGCTCTCCACCTTACTATTAAAAAATTACATTTATATATGTATGCATGTGCTATGGTGTGTGTATGGAGGTCAGAGAACAACTTGCAGGAGTCAATTCTCTTCTACTATGTACCCAGGGTTCAAAGTCAGGTCATCTGCCTTGGGGGCAGGTGCCTTTACCTGAGGAGCCGTCTTGCTTCCAACCTGGTATTTTGAGACAAGGTCTCTCACTGGAGGCAAACCTAGCTTCTTAGGTGGGTGGGAGGGATTGATCTCAGGTCCTCATGCTCGAGTGGCAAGTTCTTTGCCCACTGAGTCTTCTCCCCAGACCCCACTTCACTATCTTAAGGGGAAAATTACCCTGCATTCCAAAGTACAGATAAGAAGAAGCAACCCAAAGGGAAAAACAGGGAATGATGGGATAGAATGTGTGTGTTAGGGGAGTAATAGAAAAAATGATTTCAGGATTATAGGGTTAGCAAAGACAAGAGCCGTGTAGCTCTTCACAAACCTCACATTGTGTATAGCATGCTACCATCACATATGTATTAAGGGTGTGCTGCATATTGGGCTGTGCTTGGCAGCTGGGAGGAATGATGGAACACTTCGTACCCTGGAGAAACAGTGCAGAGAGTGAATGAGTATGGGGCTCGAAACAAGACTGTGCCCAAGGAGAAGCAGAGAGGAGAAGGCAGGGTGAAATACAAAGACACTGGGAGAAGTTATTCTGTGATACACTGTCCTTTAGATTGGCTCAGTTCCTAAGAACTGAGTAAGAGACGAATAAGGATTTAAAAAGACAAGAGAGAATAGTCATGACATCCTGGGAGACAGCAAGGAACTGCTGTAAGCTGCAGGGTTTTAAACTCTGTGGATCAGTTACAGTGCCCACCTTAGAGATATTCACATGGAATTCTTGCTCTCTAACTTCTGAGCAATCAGAAGACTGGGCCACTGGACTCCTGGCTCCAGGTGAAGTAGGCTGGGCTGGGGCTGTGCCTGAGTCCTGCCGGCTGCAACTCCCTGATCCCTCCTGACCTCTACCACCCCAGGCCAGGTATCAGCACAAGCTGCTCTCACATATACCTCACAGTCCCTGACAGTGTCTTAGCTTATTCTAATCACTCACCTAGTGATATAAATGGGTTGGTTTCTTAAGGGAAGCAGGAATATTCATGCATTCTTTGTTTTGCATTTTAGCAACTGGCAGTTGTAAGACTTTCCACACCTGACAATATTGCTTACTGTGGAAGTGATTGTACCACCCTGGACACCAAAGGGCTCCGGCCACCACTCCAGAGTTCTAAAACGCCAAGTAGTAGCACTCTATCCAAGTTACAGCAATGGTGGTCCAGCACAATGGGTTGGGAAATCCCAGCCTTTTACTGTCAAACGCAATGTCACAAGAACACAGAACTGTTACACCTCAGCTTCCCATCCCTGCACCGAAGCTGTAGTATACAGCGTCTGCCGCCCATCTTCTGGCCTCACTTGCCTGACACCAGGCCCCACTCTTGAAATTCCCCTGCTCCACAATGAGCCCATCTTTTCCTGCTTCAAAACATTGTTTCAGGGTTGGAGAGATGATTCAGGGGTTAAGAGCTCTGGCTGCTCTTGTAGAAGATCCAGGTTCAATTCCTAGCATACACATGGTGGCTAAAAACCATTTGTAACTCCAGTTCAAGGGGATCTGACACCCTCTCCGACCTCCACGGGCATTGCACAACATGGGTGCACTTACACACATGTAGGCAATACACTCATACACATTAAAAATAATAAATTCTTCCTCCAGAGTTTCTCTCCATAAGCCTAAATGCACATGTTCTCTTGCTGTTCTATGGGAATTAGCACAGTGCAAGGTTAGGGGCCTGGAAGAATGGTGTTCAAGGAATGTCTGCAAAATGAGCGTGTGACCCCCCCTACCAGATTCATGACCTTTTTGCACCTTTCTACATCCTGGATACGCTTTCTCAATGAGATGTGTTCATGATGCTGAGGTGGGGGCTCTGGGCTCTTGGGGAGACAAGCTCTAAACATGGCTGGAGCCTGCCAGTGGGTGTGCCACCTCAGGACAGAGCACACCAGGGGACAGACACAGTAACAACTCTACTGCATCCTGGGGTGAATTCCTGAGTAATGAGATCATGTGAGGAGCCTCTGGCACGCCTGCTCCTGTGTCACCATTTACCTGAAGGACTGCACCTGCCGGGGCACCTTCCGGCTCTGCTCCCGAAGTCGGCACACATCCTTAGAGACTTGCCTCATCAACTTCTCTGCATTCAAGTCTTGCTTCTGCTCTTCTTTTGTCTGTTCAGCCTGGCAAAGGAGATAAAAGCACAGGGAATGGATAAAACCTTGATTAGAAATCCTGAGACATGCTGCAGGCTAAGCTAGGAGGCCAAGCAGGCAGCTCGGGGTCTTTGTTGCCCATTAGCAAATAATACCTACATGCTCAGCTCATGTCAAGAGGAGCATGCACTACATGATTAAGGGGTGAGTTTATTTTAAGTACATTTACAACTTTTACATCTGGAAAACTTAAGAACTCTCACAAAAGGAACTGAAAACTACTGGCACTGTTTCCAAGAAATGCAACTGGCAACATTTTGGCAAATGTACTTTCAACCTCTTCTTAATCCCGTTCCCCGTGTTAGCCATCTAAAAACCTTTACTGAAGTACCATTTGCCTACTAAGCAATGGCATGTGTAAGTTCAGAGCTCACAGATCATTACACAGGGGACACACCATGTAGCCTGCAGCAGGCAAAGGGACAGAAGGGATACTCTTGGTTTCCACAGCGCCCTCCCAGTCTGCATTCTGGCAGCAGATGATACTCCCACGGGCTCTGGCACTGTGCTGGGCTGGCTCTGTGAACTCAGCATTGAGCTTCTGAGAATATACACTCTATACCTAGTCACATATTGCATTTCCCACTGTGACTTTACTGAAGTTTATTTTCTGTGCTACCATTAATGGATACTTAGCTATTTTGTATTACATATCTTTAATAAAAATGGACTAATATTATTGCTTAGTAATAGCTGCTTCTTCATTTCATTCATTGGGTCACCCAATCACCAAATACCAATAGCTTTCTATGGAAATGGTGTGCAAGATGGTGGTAAAGGTTATAGATTCTGGAGCGGAACTGTCTGAATTCAAATTCCATTTCTATCACTTTAAAACTGTGACTCTGGGCAAATGGCCTGGCCACCCCTGGCCCTCAATTTCTTCATTTTTAAGTTGGGAATAAGTACTTTAAAAGGGTTGCTGGGAGTTTAAATGAGCTAATACCTGGAAGTCACTTGAAGTCCCAGTCAACACATCATTAAAGTTACTATTTCAGTGTTTTGTTATTCCTGCTGTTTTAAGGTATGTATAGAGGCGAACAAGAACAGTTCTAAACATAAAAAGAACAGGGATTCTGATAATCATAAAGTAATATATCATTAGCATTTTCTAGGGTTAACAAGTTTTTTCTCACCTTAACATTTAAAAATATATATTTAAGTTATTATTATTATTATTTGTTTGTTTTTTGAGACAGGGTCTCTCTGTAATCCCAGTTGGCCTGGAACTTACTAGGAATAAGTCATGTTTAAATAAAAATAGCCATACCAGGCTATTTTTATTATTTTTAATTATGTGTCTGTGTGTCTGTGTGGGGGTATGTGCATATGAGTGCAGGTGCCTGTGAAGACCAGAGATATTGGAGCCCCTGGAACTGAAGTTACAGATGGTTGTGAGATGACATGTGGGAACCCAGGTCCTCTGCAAGAGCAGTAAGTGCTCTTAACAACTGAGCAACCTCTCCAGCCGCTAAAGAAATATTTTAAAAAGCCAGGTATATTGGCTTGGAAGGTTAAGGCAGGAGGATTATGAGTCTGAACCAGCCTAAGCTACACAGAGAGTTCTAGAAAAGCCTGTAGTACATAGGGAGACTGTGTCTCAAAAATAAACAAACGAACTAATAAATAAAACTAGTCAATAAAATGAAACTGGGTGTGGTGGTTCATGCCTATAATCCTAGCACTCAGAAGGCTAAAGCTATCAGCTCTTCGCCAGCCTGGGTTATACAATGTGTTGCTGCCCAGCCTGGGCTCTATAGTTAGCTCCAGGGCAGCCTGGGCTATAAGTAAGACCCTGTCTCAGCTCCACCCCCAAATCAAGCCAAATAAAGCAGTAACAACAATAAAAATAAAAACCAAGGAGGGGAAAAAATAAAAAAGGAAAAAGAAAAAAAAATTAGAGGTGTTTTAGAGGTGCTGATAACAGAATTGAGCAGGAAGAAGTTTCCATAGATTCCTTGACCCCAGCTCAGCCAAGTTCTCTAAGAATGTCCTCCTTTACCTGCTCCGGTCAATGAGCCCACACTGCTGCATCATCATCCAAAGCCCACAGGTCACACCAGGCCTCCCTCAGTGTTGGATTCCTCTGTCCCACAGTCACCAGTACATCACAGTACCACAAAGCAGATTTAAAATCCTTGTGCTCATATCTTCCTCTGTGCTCCTCCCTATCTTCTCCCTAGCCCCTGGCAACCACTATATACATATATGTATACACTATGTATTCATACATATATATGTACACATACACATGCATACACAATGTATATATACACACAAATTTACTCTTTCTCTAGTTTTGCTTTTTCCAGACTGCTGTATGGCTGGACTCATATAATATGTAGTCTCTTCAAATGGGCTTCTTTCATTTAGTAATGTGCATTTAAGTTTCCTCCATGTGTTTTTGTGCCCCAATATCCTATTTATATTTAGTACTGAGCAATATTCCATTGTTCAGTGTACCACAGTTCACTTATTCATTCATCTACTGAAGGAAATTTTGGTTGTTTCCAAGTTTTAACTGTTAAAAATGAAGTTGCTATAAATATCCACACAGAATTTTTTTTTTTTTAACTGGACATGTTCTCAACTCACTTGGGTTGTTCTAGTTGGCTTTAGCTATCAACTCGACACAGCCTGCAGTCATTGGAAGGTGTCTCAATCGAGGGATCGCCCGATCGATCAGAATGTCTATGACCATGTCTAAGAGAGACTGTCCTGATGGATTATTGATGTGGGAGGGCCCAGCCCGCTGTGGGCAGCACTAGCCCTAGGCAGGTGGATCTGGACTGTGTAAGAAAGCTAGCTAAGAATGAACCAGGGAGCAAGCCAGCAAGTACCTTTCCTCTATGACTCCTGCTTCAAGTTTCTGCCCTGACTTCCATCAATGATGGATTTCACTGGAAGTGTAAGATGAAATAAACCCTCTCCTCACCAAGCTGCTTTTGGTCCTGATGTTTGTTACAGTTAACAGAAAGAAAGAAAACATGGATAAATACCAGAGTGAAACTGCTGGGATGTACATGAGAATGCAGTTTGTTTTGTAAGAAGCGCCATGCTGTCCTTGAAATGGCCCACCAACTTGCAACCTAAGCTGTTGCTCCTGGTCCCACCAGTACTTGAGGTCAGTGTTGTGGGCTCTGGCCATCCTGATAGGCAATGCAGTGCTCTCTCATGGTTTTACCCCGCACGTCCTAATGACTACGATGCTAAGCATCTTTTCATCTATTTACTTGCCATCTGTATATCTTTTTTGGTCAGGGATCTAGTTAAACTCTCATTTTTTTAGTTGCCTGTTTTGTATTGGTGAGTTTTAAGAATTCTTTGTGGTTTTAGACAACAGTTCTTCATTGGGTAATGATTTTTGAAAATGTTTCTCCTAGTCTGTGACTTATTTCTTTTACTCTTGACAGTGTCTTCCATAATTCAGAAGTTTAAATTTATGCTATATTTTGGATGCTAGTGTAAATAGTATTGAGTTTTAAAATTTAAATTGCACTTACAGATTGATAGTATATGGCAAACTGCTTAACTTTTGTATATTAATCCTGTATCCTACAACTTTGCTATAATCACTTAGTTCAAGGAGTTGTTTTGGGAGGACAGGGGAATCTATTCCTTTAGATTTTCTACGTAGACAATCATGTTACCTGAGAACAATGACAATTTTAACTTTATTCCTATACTATACTTTTCCTTTTCTTGTGTTAGTGCTTTAACTAGGACCCCAGTACAGCTTAGGAAAGGAAAACTGCTAGGGCATGTCTCTGCCTTTCCTGATCTTTCTTCCTGAAAAGGTTTTTGCTAATTGTAGAGTTTTGTAACTGTTCTTTAGGCTTCCTCCCCGAGTTTTCTGTTTTCTTCTCTTTCTTTTCTCTCTCTCTCTCTTTTTTTTTTTTTTGGTCTTTTTGAGACAGGGTCTCCCTGTAGCCCCAGCTGACCTGGAATTAGCTATGTAGACCAGGTTGGCCTCAAACTCACAGAGATCCACCTGCCTCTGCCTCCTGAGTGCTGGAACTAAAGGCGTATGCCACCATGCCTGGCTCTTCTCTTTCTTTTAAAAAATCAGAATAAGGTGAGGTGTTTTTTTTTTTTTTCTTTTTGCCATTTTTTCCTATCTCTACTGGCATGATTGTATGATCTCTCTCTCAGCTTAATCATGTAAGGAATTATAGTAATTAAAATGTTGAAACTTTGCATGCTTGGGATACATTTTCCTTGGTAATGGTATATAATTCTTTTTAAAAAAGATTTACATATGGGCTGGAGATGGCTCAGTGGTTAAGAGCACTGGCTACTCTTGCAGAGGACCTGGGTTCAGTTCCCAGTAACCACTGGCAGCTCACATTTGTCCATAACTTCAGTTCAGTGGATCTGATGCCCTCTTCTGGCCTCCTCAGGCATTGCATGACATGTGTACACTTTCACACATGCAGGTAAACACTCATAACACATAGAATAAAAATAAATTAAAAAAGATTTACATTTAATTTTTACTTACTTGTATGTATGTGTGTGCAGGGGTCCACAGAGACTAGGAGATGGTGGATCACCTAGAGCTGGAGTTACAGGTGGTTATGAGCCATATAATGTGGGCGTTGGGATTTGAAATTTGGGTCTTCTGCAAGAGCAGTGTACACTTTTAACCACTGAGCCAATTCTCCAGCCCCACAGTTCTTTTTTATACATTGTTAGATATTTTGATAGTCTATTGACCTATGCTTATAAGAGTTGAGGCCCATGCTTTCTTTTTGTTTTTAATAACTCATTCTACTAATTTATTAATCTACAGACCTGTCTTGCTGCATTGCAAGGCTGATGATCTTCCTGCCTCAGCTTTCAAATAACTGAGACTCCAGGTGTTTGCCACTCAGATTTTTTTTTTCAGATTTATTTTATTGTTTTTAATTTATGTGTATGTATGTGGGTCTGAGTATATGTACACGTATTACATGTGTGCAGGTGCT